TTATAAAAATCTTTTACCATAATAATTAAATTTGGGCTGTATAATTTAAATGTCAACAGTTAATATACTATGGCACAAATCATGCAGCAACAACTGTGAGGAATGAAGAACAAACTTGCATGTAACTAATACACAATTCACTCACCTGTTGTGTGTTTGACATCATTATCTTGCAAAGACCAGTGTTTTATTCCACTTCCATGTGGAGAACCTAAATGTCAGCAAACAGAGTAAATAAGTACCCAAAGGCATTAGAGTATGAAACCTTATATTTATTTTCAGGAAAGAGTTCCTTTTGTACCCCCCATCCCTAACCCTAACCTCAGACTAGTAATACAACAGACTCGCAACGCGGCGTTTTCTTTTGAAGTAATGCGTGCCACGTTTGTTTAGGTTATCAGTTCTTATCGTACCGAGTAAACGTTGCTGAGCAACAACATTTTCATTATATTTCACAAAATAACGCGAGATCTATTTATATTACAATCAACTATCGCGATGCATCGCGAGAAATAAAGACAGGAAGTGACATAGACGACAGGAGTTGTCAGTGAACTTCGAAAATGGCATTTACGGAAAAATTTGGCAAATCTGAAGACGATAATTACGAGTGGGAAGCTATTTTAGGAGAACATTTTGACGAAGATAATGACAATTTCTCTGTAGAACTTTGCAATCCCTGATCGATCTCGTGTTTTTCATTTCCTGAAATTAGGAATAAAAAGAAATATACTGGGCTATTTTTAGACAAAACTATGACGGAAGTCAAACAAAATCAGTGAAACTCGAAATAGCAACAATACTGACACACAATAGAAAATTGAAACAGTCACTGAACAACGCGTAGATCGCGTACTATGAAGTCGAACGCAACAAAAATAACGCACCTCCAGTTTTTACCGTTATTGGATCACGCTGATTCGCTGAGAGACATGACACTAGCTATCTCATGTTTCGGCATCCCGGAACACAAAAACAAAACGGGTAACACACAAAGAAGTATGATCGTTCAAAACGCAGCGATAAGCTCTCTCCAAATAAATATTGGAAACCTTCCGCAAAATCCGCAACAGCGAGAAATATCGTTTCAAAGTTGCTCATTATATATTCAAAAACTATTTGAGGTAAACACTAAGACATTCAGTTACTTGTAACTCCCCTGATTCTTGGTCGATTCTTAAAATTCTTACACAGCTGCAAAGGTCAAAATGTCCAGAACGCATCTCCCGTTTTTTTAAATATATCCGGATCCGTTTTACGAAGAAATACGCAATTTCCGAAGGAGCGCGAAGTGTGCAGAATATCCAGTGCTCGGTAAACTTCGACGGTGTCTATGCCAATGCTGCAGAGCGTGGCAGGCATAGCATATACAATTAAGCCGATTAACACCTTAAACAATAGGCGTTGCGAGTCTGTTGTATTACTAGTCTGAGCCCTAACCCAACCCATACCCAGCACTCCCCATTTAATTATACATGCCCCTCCTAAGAACATATATAGTTATCTAGAGGGGGCATATACAAATGAATTGGAACTGGGAGTGAGTGTTAGGGTTAGGGATGGGGGGGGTACAAAAAGGAACTCCTATTTTCATTTATC